TATCTTGTGCGCAAGAAGTCAAGTGACTCGGAAGCTGGCCCTAGTGGCATTAAAAGAAGAAGGGAAGTAACCCCCGAAAAGGACTTGCTACCTCAAGTCCTAATGGAAGGGGAAATTCCCCTTCTAAACAGTAAGAAGATAATGCTCTCCCCTCCTCCCATCCCATCAATCATCACCAGATCTTCAATAAAAGTAAGTGTCATGTAAGTGTGCATGCCTTTTTCAGTTTGTGTGTATTAAAATTAACATTTCATGTGGTAAAAAAAAATTTTTTTCATACTTTTGGGCGTCTTGCACGGATTAATTTTATTTCCATTATTTCTTATGGGGAAAATTCATTCACATAACGATTATTTCGCATAACAATTATCCCTCTTGCACGGATTAAAATCGTTAACCGGGGGTCCACTGTACAATACAGTGGACCACCACAAATTCACAGTTCCATATACAGTGGTCCTTCGATAATCGCAGGGCTCGAGAGTCGTAGATTTCGGAAATCATAGCGATATTTTTGTATAAACATGGGCTCGCTAATCGTAGATTGACTCACGAATAGTAGTTCGTCCTGGACGTGTACGCATGCTGTGAGCCAGGGCGTCCTCCCTTCCCAGCCAGTGTGGCACTGTTTACCAGTGAGCGACAGTCCCCTCACTTGCTCCTACGGAATATTTCATAATATTCCATTCATTTTCGTGCTTGCAAGCACTAAATAAGCTACCATGGCTCCAAAGAAAGCTTCTAGTGCCAAGCCTTTGGTAAAGAAGGTGAGAAATGCAATTGAATTTAAGAAAATCATCATTGTATTGTTTATGTACTACATCTATATTTCATGTAAAAAAATTTTTTGTTTTAATACTTCTGGGTGTCAGGAACGGATTAATTGTATTTACATTATTTCTTATGGGGAAAATTGATTCGAAAATCGTAGATTTCGATAACAGTAGCACCTCCAAGAACGGACTAAATAAGATAAACGAGGGACCACTGTACGCAGCTTCAGTAATTTGTGGATTTTTCCTTAGAACCTAACTAATAATTGTTTGCAGAAATCCCCGCAAATTCGCAAAAATTTTTTTGGGCCTTTTTCATGGCAATATATAATTTTTTTGTGTTTTAATGCTAAATATTAAAAAATATATAATTTAATAATTTTGTAACATAAATATTAATGTAAATTCTGCAAAATTTCCATATAAAATATAATACTGTGTAAATTTTTTATGGTACGTATACCAAAGAAAATGGGGTTGCATGAATTATAGTATACCAAAGAAAATGGGCTTGCATGAATTACAGTACATATGGGGGTAACATCGGTATTTTACATTCTAGCACTGTGGGGAGACATAACAGTACAGTACTGTACGTATATGGGTTCATCTATGTTTTTTTTTAAGAGTGATGTATGAAGCTGAGTTTGAAATTAAAGTGTTTTGGGGGCATATTTAGGGTTTAAACTTTAAAAAAAAAAAAGGCATTTATAAGCATTTTTTTTAACCGTGTCCAGAATTCGTGGATTTTCCAAGTTCGCAGGTGATCTTGAAACGTAACCCCCGCGAATTTGACGGAGGACTAGTTCATAGTATTAGTATAGAATCTACTAATATGATTAAATTTGGATTAAGAACAACCTTATATTTAATGATATTTTAGCTAATTTTTAAAGACAATTTAAATCAATGTTCCTTTAACCTTTCCAGGGTTGGTGCCGTAAGTAAGTTTATTCAGGTATACACAAATACAGTTACATAGAATTATCATACATAGCAGCATATGTGTAGAGACCCTGGGATAACCCAAAAAAACATAGCAGCATATGTGTAGAGAACCTGGGATAACCCAAAAAAGTCAGACAGAGTGACTTATTTCCATTGGGGTCCTTTTACCTTATTATTATAATATAAAGGTTATACCATTTTCTTATTATTCTACAATGAAGATATCTTATTATCATACTAAAAAGACTATCTACTACACGAGGGTCATTAAGACTATCTACAATACGAGGGTCATTACTAGGAATAAGGTAAAATTTACACGTATGTTAGCTAAAAAATAGAAAATCATTCCCCTCCCTTTCTGTAGCTACATTCATCAGACACCTTTTGGTACTCTTCTTGAACTGGTTCATGCTATGACTGGCTTTGACATGTGCGGGTAGTCTGTTCCATTCCTTTATTGCTGTACAATAAAAGGTGTTTGACACCTGGCCAATGACTGTGGGTACTACAAAGTTGTGCTCTCTCCCCCTAGTACTATGATTGCTTTGGTTCCCAACCTTGACAAAATTGACAGCAAGATATTCTGGACACTGTTTGTGAGCAATTTTATAAACATGATTTAGCTTCAGTTGTTTTACTCTGTCTTCAACATTCAGCATATCCAACTGCTGTAATTCATCCTGGCCTACTTGTTCTCTTTGTCCCAGCCCCAGGATGAATCTTATGATTTTGTTCTGGGTGATTTGCAGTCTATCTTTCAGTTTTTTTGTCAAGGCAGAGTACCATTAAGAGCGTACTAGTACGCATAAATTCTAGCGCCTTCAAATCTAGCGAGAGAAAGCTGGTAGGCCTACATATGAAAGAATGGGTCAATGTGGTCAGTGTGCGCAGTATCAAAAAAATCCTGCAGCACAAAGTGCATAACAAGAAAAAAAAAAACTCCGACCATGTTTTTGGTTTAAAACAGCGACTTTGCAGTGTATTTTCGTATGCTATTTATGGTTGTATTCTAGTTTTCCTGGTCTCATTTTATAGAATGGAATCATATTACAGACAATGAAATGATTTTGATTGGTTTCACAAAGAAAAGGACCTTGAAATTGAGCTCAGAGTAGCAGAAATGTTTGATTTTTGCCAAAGTTCAAAAGTAAACAAATCATGCCAAGTATCTAATACACATCAACTGGTGAGTCTAATATTCTTTCATAAATGCGCTGATATTATTTATACCATTTCTACACCATTTCTACACTAATGCAGTAGACTGCATAACAATAAATCTTCTATTTTTTGTGAGAATAAAAATTCAAAGTGGAAAGCTAAAGAAATGTAAGAAGAGGCCTGGGGACGTGACTAATGAACAAAAGAAATGTTATTTTAGTGCCAGGAATGGCTGTCTTGTTTATTCTGTACCCTATTTGAAAATTAGCATCTTTTGAAATTTGTGTGAAATTGGCAAAATTGCCAATTTCTGACCACTTTATTGGATAGTTGAAATCGGTAAATGGGTGATTTCTTGTACTCATTCGATAGAAAAAACGGAGTTCTTGTAAAATAGTTAAGATTTTTGCCAACTGGTACATTGGAATTGGCCGAAAATAGGGCTCAAAGTGGGCAAAACCGCCGATGCGTAAACATCGTTGAGACTGCTAACTTCGCAAGAGCATAATTCCGTAAGTTTTCCATCAAATTTCTTACTTTTGGTGTCATTATGACCAGGAAAAGATTCTCTGTCATTTCATAAGAAAAAATAATTTTTTTTCGAAAAATTTCCGACCCTGAGAACAAGGAGAGGGCCTGCCGACCCTGAAAGGGTCAAGTCAATTTGCCAAGCAATGCACTGGTCTTTTTGATGTTTACACAGCTCATTTCCTCCATGAGAGCCCATATTACGTATTCTTGCACAGTGAGAGGCAAGTTTGAAGCTAGTCTTTAGCTATTGACGTCACTGGGATCTTTGCATTTCTGAACAATGTCAAAAAGTGTATAAAGTATAAAATTTTTTACAGTTAACTCTTTGACTGTCAAAACCCCAAATCCTGAGGTGTCTCCTGGTGTCACAAAATATTTTGAAAAAAAAAAAAATTCTTATGAAATGATAAGAGAATCTTTTCCCGATGGTAATGACACCAAAAGTACAAAATTTGATGGAAATCTTACAGAATTATGCTTTCACGAAGTTAGCGACCTCAGTGGTATTTACAAATTGGCAATTTCGCCCACTTTAAGCCCTATTTTTGGCTATTTCCATTGTTCCAGTCGACCAAACTCATAACTATTTCTTTAGAACGCCATGTGTTGTATCGATTGAGTACAAGAAACTGCCTATTTACCAATTTCAACTACCCAATAAAGTGATCAGAAATTGGCAATTTGGCCAATTTCACACAAATAAAAAAATATGCCAATTTCAAAATAGGGTCCAGAATGAACAATGCAGACATTCCTGGCTCTAAAATAACATTTTCTTTGTTCATCAGTCATGTCTCCAGGCAGCTTTGATATTACTCTTTCTTTCTATTTTGAATTTTTATTCAAACAAAAAATAAAAGATTTAATGTTATGCAGACTCCTGCAATATTGTGATAATTGTATAAATAACATCAACCCATTCATGACTGCATATCAGAATGGCTAGTTGGACATTTATTGGACAATGACATCATTTGTTGACTTTTGAACATCGGCAAAAATCAAACATTTCCCCTACTTTGAGCTCCATTTCAAAGTCCTTTTCATAGTAAAACCAATCAAAATTACCTCTATTTTTATAATAGGTTTTCCATTCTATCAAATGTGAATACAAAAACAAGAATATAACGATAAAAACTACATGAAAATACACCTCGAAGTCACAATTTTAATCCAAAAAGTTTTTTTTTTTTTTTTATGCACTGCGTGCTGCAGGATTTTTTTTATATGGTGCACACTGACCACACAGACCCATTCTCTCACATGTGGGCCTACCAGCTTTCTCCTGCTTGATTTGAAGCCGCTAGAATTTTTGAGTATATATACGTCAAACACGGTGGCTCGTAAGACGTATATATAGGACAGAAGCAGTCAAAGGGTTAATGAACGTTGCACAAAAGCAGTGCCTGACAGTGCAGTGATGGAAGATAATTCCAAGTGTTTAGGAAAAACTCTTGTTAGTAACAATGTGAATTACAAGTGAAGAACGTTTTAGTTATTTATTTAGATAAATGTTAATATGCTTATGCATAATTAATGTTCAATTTCAAGAAGTGCATATTATGCAATAAAAATAAAACTTACATCTGTTGGATCTTCACTGCTGGCAGGGACTCGCATTCTGCCTCTCTTCTTCTTTTTTTTACGTTTACGTTTAGCCCCTGAGCCAAGTGGAGGTTGTGGCGAAGTTCCATCCCGCTGATCCTCATCTCTTCCCTCACCTGGGTCACTCAGGTCATCGTCCTCTTTGACTTCAGACTCAGATGGAGACCCTTGGATCAACTGGAAAATAATGCAACACAGCACTAAAATACAGTACAGTAAACCCTCCATATAAAAGACTAACTGAGAATAGCCAGTGGATGGCAATGGTAATTGTGGTGGTCAGACAAGAGGTTGTTTTGCTGTGAATGTAACAATAATGGACAAATCTGTAACTAACAGACTTTGTCCACAGTTTTCAAATCAAGTGGCCCAGCAAATTTTATTCCGTATTTCCGAAGTCCATTATATGGACTTCAGAAATAAGTATGTGTGTACATATGTGAAAAGAGAACATAGAAAAGAATAAGTTTATGATAAGGCTAACAAAAGGGTAGGGAATGATACTGAATATCAGACTGGTGTAATGAAGTATGGAGAAACTGGATGTATTTATAAATTTCTTAGTGAACAAATCAGCAGATGGATCTATGAAAGATGAGGTGAACTAAAGAACAGATGAGGGGAAAGGGTAGATGGAGTGTTGAGGCATCTGTGGACAGAAAGTTTACCCATGGCATTAAGAAAGGGACTGAATTGAGTATAGTGATACGAACACTTTTATACATGTGTGAGGGAATGCCTTTGACTGCTATAATGAGGAGTCTAGCAGTGGAGATGTTATGGTGAGAGTATCCCACAAAAAATATGGAGTGTAGAAATTAAAAGGTGATGTGTGGTCATCAAGGGTATAATTCAGAGCTGAAGAGTTGTTGAGGTGGTTTGGGCATACAAAGATGATAGAAGAAAAGGTTGATGAAGTGTGTGTCTAAATCTGCAGGTGGAAGGTAGGAAGGGTAGGGGCCATCCCAGGAATAATTGGAGGGAAGAGTTAAAAAGGTTTTGAGTTTTAGGGGCTTGAACATCCACAGGGCTTGTGTGAGTGTGTTAGACAGGAGTGAACGGAGACAAGTAGTTTTTAACGAGCATGCTGTTGAAAAGCAACAATTTTCATGAAGGAATTCAGAGAAACCATTAGCCGGACTCAAGTCTTGGAGGAGAGAAGGGCAGTGCCTGCACTATGAAGGAGGGGTGGGGGATGTTGCAGAGTGTAATCTGAATGTGATATCAACACACTTCTGGAAAGATGGCAATTAAGTCAATGATGGTGAAAGTGTTTTTTTCTTTCTTTGAGATACACTGCCTTGGTGGGTTATTCCCCCCCCCCCCCTCACACACATTATAAATTCTCACTCTCTCTCATACTCACTAACTCTCAATCTCTCTCTCTCTCTCCCTCTCTCTCTCTGTGAGCATGCATGTACACATACATAATGAGGACTTCCACTGGCTTACTGGTTCACCCCTATAAAAATGATTATATTATTATTATAATAAAAAAGAATCGCTAAGCCACAAGGGCTATACAGCGCTGCAGGGTAGGGAAGGAAGCGAGGGTATTGGATGGCAGAAGGGAGGAGGGATGATCAGTAGGTTACAGAAAACAGCGGGGCAGGGGATAGTACGGGGGTAGGGGGTAGCAAGAGATTGAAGTATAAAGGGCTGAAGGTATCAGAATTTGTGAAGTAAGTCAGTTGTTGTCAAAAAGTCAATGAGAGAGTCTGAATGAAAGGTGGGTCCATCAGCGAGAAGGGAAGGTAAAAGAGAGAGCAGCAGAGCGAAGACGACGATGGAGGTAAATTCTGCGTGCTCGTTGATAAAGTGGGCAGTCCACAGAATGTGGCTGACTAATAATGGAACTTGGCAATTCTCACAGAGAGGAGCAGGCGCCACTCCATGAGATATCCATGAGTAAGACGAGTATGGCCAATGCGAAAGACGGGAGAGAGTAGTCTCCCAACCTCGACACTGGTGATAAGAAGACGGCCAGTAACCTATACTCGGTTTAATAGATTGAAGTTTGTTGCCGAGCATAGTAGACCAACGTTGTTGCCAACGGGTGTGAAGTTGGGAAGATATTGCAGCAAAATAGTCCGTAAATGGAATACCTCTACATGAAATGGTAGGTCATGTACTGCTGACCGCGCAGCAGTGTCTGCCTGTTCATTGCCCTGTACGTCAACATGACCAGGGACCCAACAAAAAACAATATCTTTATGCTTGGTAAAGATGTGGCGTAGCCGAAGTTGGATACAGAGGACTAAGGGGTGAGGTGTATCAAATTTCTGTATAGCGTTTTTTAAAGCACTAAGGGAGTCTGAGACAACCACAAATGATGACACAGGCATAGATGCAATACGGGTAAGTGCCGTAAGGATGGCATACAATTCAGCAGTAAAAATACTAGCCGAATATAGTAAATGCCCTTGTACGACGCTGTCCGGAAACACTGCTGCGAATCCTACGCCGTCAGAAGACTTAGAGCCATCTGTGTACACAGCAATGGCATGAGAATGAGAGTGAAAGTGGTCAAGAAAAAGAGAGCGGGAAGTGGCCGTAGACAGTTGGGCTTTCGAGCAAGGGAGAGAGAAAGAACAGACTCGAACAGCTGGAACTTCCGGGGGGTAGGGAAAAGTGGAGATGCACATGTACATAGAAAGGTGACGTAATTGAAGAGAAGACAAGAACGAATGAAGGCGAAGGAGAGAAGGGACGGTGTAAACAGGGGCGGCGTACAAATAAAGATGTCTACTAATATCAGTGACCATTCTATAAATGGAAGGATTTGCGGAGATCATGATGGCGTACATAGTTAGCGAAAGGCAATGGGCCATCACGGCGACTGGATAAGGATGGAACGTTCGCTTCTGCATAGAGGCACTGACAGGGGAAGAGCGACAAGCACCAGCATAAATGTAATCCTTGGTGATGGAATGGGGTTAAGGCTCGAGAGGAGTAGAGGGGAGATGCGCTGAATAGATCTTGTCACCTATAAGTTTCGATAAGATAAGGGTGGAGATGTAGGGCGAAGGAGGGTTCGACGACAGCTCCCCATGAAAGATGAGCATGGGTTTTAAGAAGGTTCAGCCGGCTGTGGACAAGTTGCCTTCAGATAGGTAATGTGAGGTTTCCCAGGATAACTAGGATCAAAGAGAGCCCAGACTGAAACTTGAATCTGTATTACGTTCAGGGATAGGGAGCCATGAGGTACAAAAGGATAAATGGGGTGACGAGCGTCTATAAAAGTATTTGGGGGGTTTTAGTGCTAAAAAATTTAAAACCACGTGTGGGGGCCCCAATTGGGGAAACAGGGTCGACTGCATGTGGGGGAAAAACTGTAAAAGGGTTTGCGCAGCGCTGCCATGCAATCGAAGTCATCAAATAGAGTGATGACCAAATATTTGATGGAAGGGAAAAGGGGCCAAACTTAATACAAGGAAAAAAAAGTGTTTTGCTAGAACACCCCCGGGGGGGACCCTTTCACTGGATAAAGCCCGGGGAGAGAATTATTAACCGAAACAAAAATGCCTGTCAGTTAAAAATTCTTAAGGAAGGATGGTAGATTCCCTCGAAGGGCCCAAAAGGGGGGGGGTTTGGGTTTAAAAAATATTATACCCCAAAGTTGTGTCATTGCCTTCTCAGGGTCAAAAAAATTGGCAATAACTGAGTTTTTTATTCCAAAGGCATTACGAAAATACGACCAAGCGTATAAGGGGGCTTGGTTTGAACGTCCCTTACAAAGCCATACGACGAGTGGAGAGCTGTTGGTGTCTCAAATACAACTAAACGTCTATTTCTAGGGGTTCCCCTCACTTTGCAAACTGACTGGTAAGGGATGGGACGATAGTGGGGTTTTATTTCCCGTAGTGCCTGGTTTGGGAATGGGGAACAATGGGGGTTTCCAAGCTGTGGGAAGAATCCTTGTGCCAAATAAAATTGTAAAGGCATAAAAGGGCTGAAGGGTTCTGATGTAATGTTGTAAAAACATACAAATATGAATGTCTCGGGCCCCGTGCCCCATGATCGGCAAAACTGGGGGTTGCCCCCGTTTTGAAATGTAAAAGGCACATTTTTGTTCTTCTCTGAGAGAAGAAAATCCCCAAAGGGGCTAATCTCTGGCAGCTTTGGGAAAAAATGAGGGGGGATAGAGGATCCCTGAAAATCGGACAAAATGATTTCAAAATTTATTTGGAAAATCGTGGGTTTGCTATATCAACACCGGGAACCCGCAGAAAAAGGGGCGGGTCAGGAGAAAATTTACAAAAGTTTTCGTATTTTTTCCAGACGCATCTAGAGGAAGCAAGGGGATGGTGGAGCATAAAACTCGCCAGCAAGTGCGTTTAGATCACGGGTGACCGGGGACGATCGCAGCTTTTTCTTAAAAAAAAAAAAGTCTCCCGTGGCTCATTGTACCGGAACCCCGCCCCAGCACACGTTTCAAAAGTATGCACGGCAAAGCAGGGGACACCCAAGGCACGCATTTTGAAATGCCGCCCGAAGTTTGGGGTATAGAAAGAGAAGCTGCGGTTTTTAAACGGGAGCGACCGAGAAGAGGTTGTTGGGCTCAACGATGGTGGACGAAGAGGAACCTCTCTAAAACTGTTAGGTTGTGGAGTAAAGGTTCCAATATGCCTGATCGAATTGGCCAGCGTGGGATGCGACAGAGGTGGTGAATATGAAAGGGGAAGTAAGAATGATGGGATATGATCGCTGTCATGTAAGTCCGGAAGACAGACCAAGTGAAGTCTAATGCGGCGGAGGAAGAGCGACTGAGAGAATCGATGCAAGGGAGGTGTGCTCGAGGATGAAAATGGGTGTTAGTGAGGACCTGTATTTAAACATGGAGGGTGGGTGGGCAAGAAAAGCCTTCTAACTGAAATGCCCTGGGAATCACAGTGGGAGAAACCCCTCCGCCCCCCCACCCCCCCCCCGCCCCCCCCCAGGGAAATGACGTGGGCATTAAAATCACCAAGTAACAGAAATCGGAGGTGGTGGTAATGAGAAACAAGAAAGCAATATCGGAGAATAGATAAGGCCCAAGAAGGAGAGGAGATATAAAGAACAGGCTATACCACATATGCAAGTGGATACGGCCGCTGTGTAATGCAACGAATTGTACGAACAAATAGGCTGTGGTACGGAATATCAGTGCAGTAGAGAAGGGCACTTCAGTTTTAAAGTGTCCTTCAGGAAAAGGATCTCCCCCCAAGAATACAATAAATTATTGCCTGAGTAGATGGAGAGATAACA